ACCTGTGGGCAGCTGTAGCCTGTTAGCTGTCCTGATCTTAGAGAAAAGGAGGCCAGAGTTTCTGCTGACCACAGCCTCTGGAAAGAACACCAGCCAACCCAGCAAAACTCCCACATTGCCTTGGGGCCCTCAGGCAATCCTAGAGTACTGCAGCAGAGGTACTTGCTGGGACCAGCCTGCAGAATGGGGGTCCAGTAGCCCTCAGCAAGGAAACAGCCCGGAGGGCCCAGCTCCCATGACATCAGGGAGATGGGAAGGAAGAGAACCAGTGGGGCTCCCTTATCCCAGGGGACAGGGGGCTCGGTGCAGAGGGTCACCTCTAGGCCAGGAGACAAACTTTTCGGGGACCCAACTCACTCTTCTCGTGTGGCCTGGGCTGAACTGTTTAGCCTCTCAGGGACTTTTAGGTGTGTGTGTGTGTGTGTGTGTGTGTGTGTGTGTGTGTGTGTGTGTGTGATCTCCTATGTAGCCCAGGCTGGACTCAAATTCATAATCCTCCTGGCACCACCTAGGATTCCAAGAATGTGCCACTAGGGCTGGCTGGTCTCGTCTACACTAGAGCTGTTCTAGTCTACACTAGGGCTGTTCTAGTCTACACTAGGGCTGTTCTGGTCTACACTAGGGCTGTTCTGGTCTACACTAGGGCTGTTCTGGTCTACACTAGGGCTGTTCTAGTCTACACTGGGGCTGTTCTAGTCTACACTAGGGCTGTTCTAGTCTACACTAGGGCTGTTCTAGTCTACACTAGGGCTGTTCTCATTTACACTGGGGCTGTTCTAGTCTACACTAGGGCTGTTCTAGTCTACACTAGGGCTGTTCTAGTCTACACTAGGGCTGTTCTAGTCTACACTAGGGCTGTTCTAGTCTACACTAGGGCTGTTCTGGTCTACACTAGGGCTGTTCTGGTCTACACTAGGGCTGTTCTAGTCTACACTAGGGCTGTTCTCATTTACACTAGGGCTGTTCTAGTCTACACTAGGGCTGTTCTCGTCTATACTAGGGCTGTTCTGGTCTACACTAGGGCTGTTCTCATTTACACTAGGGCTGTTCTAGTCTATACTAGGGCTGTTCTGGTCTACACTAGGGCTGTTCTGGTCTACACTAGGGCTGTTCTGGTCTATACTAGGGCTGTTCTGGTCTACACTAGGGCTGTTCTGGTCTACACTAGGGCTGTTCTGGTCTATACTAGGGCTGTTCTCATCTACACTAGGGCTGTTCTCATCTATACTAGGGCTGTTCTCATTTACACTAGGGCTGTTCTAGTCTATACTAGGGCTGTTCTGGTCTATACTAGGGCTGTTCTGGTCTATACTAGGTCTGTTCTCATCTACACTAGGGCTGTTCTCGTCTATACTAGGGCTGTTCTCATCTACACTAGGGCTGTTCTCGTCTATACTAGGGCTGTTCTCATTTACACTAGGGCTGTTCTAGTCTATACTAGGGCTGTTCTGGTCTATACTAGGTCTGTTCTCATCTACACTAGGGCTGTTCTCGTCTATACTAGGGCTGTTCTCATTTACACTAGGGCTGTTCTAGTCTATACTAGGGCTGTTCTGGTCTACACTAGGGCTGTTCTGGTCTACACTAGGGCTGTTCTGGTCTACACTAGGGCTGTTCTGGTCTACACTGGGGCTGTTCTGGTCTACACTAGGGCTGTTCTGGTCTACACTAGGATTGGCTGTTCTAATCTACAGTCTTCAGAGAGACTGCTTGGGATGGGATTTGCTACATGTGTTGTGCTAAGTCAAGAAGCCCTCTCTCCCCGGCATTTTGATCAAGGGCAGAACAGAAAGAAAATGTTTGTTCAGGACTACATCTGTATTCTCTTGGTCCTCCCAGCAGGGTCGGGCAAGTGAGGAGCAATAGTTAGCTCATGGTGGAGACTGGGGAGAACTGGAGGGCAGAGGTCAGTCACTGTCCTGCCTGAGCTACAATGTCACCACCCAACATGGATGGTTAGACACAGGCCAGACAGACAGGTCTTCCAACAGGCCACAAGCCGGACACCGGTGCTGCCACCTGACCGTCTAAGCGCTGCAGATATTAGAAAACTACCCGTTTAGTTTCAGGCCCAGCAAGCCTTCCACAGGCTGACTGGTGTTTCAGGCAGCAGGCAGCCTCTGAGGCTAACAATGGGACTCCCCAGGGACACACACGCCACACGGTCACTAACTTTCTGATCCCAGAAGTGGGACCAGTTACTCCTTGGGAGGCAAAGGCAGGCTGAGGCAGCCACTCACCAAGTCTTGTCTGGGGCTGTCGGCCCACTCAGCTCTCACTCTACCCAGTCCTTACCCCCAGCTGGACGCCCACCACTGTCTTGCCTAGAATGTTCTGGGTGGGCTAAGGAGAGCAGAGACGGCATAGGGAAGAGCATCTTGGAGTACTCCCCCAGATGTGGGCAGGTGGACATCGGGTTATGTGACACTGAATGTTGGTGGCTGGGGTATCCTTCATGACCACTGTTGTTCACAAAACATCTGCCTTGCATGGATACTAGAAGCTGGCCTCGCACACACCAACACGCCTGTCAAGCCTGAGTGACTACCTCAGCCTGGGTGACCCCAAAGCATGGCCTTACTTCTTTGCTTCTGTCTATGAGAGCTGCTATCAAGGGCCACAGCCCCTGCACCTGGCCTTGGGCCACAGAGTGCTACATAGTGACACAGGACCGCACACACAAAGCCTTCAGTTTCCACCTGGGTCTCTTGAAATGCTGATCATGGGACACTGTCCCTAGGGACCGGCCACCATGCACAAGAAGCTGCTCTGGCCACCAGCCACTGCTAGCCAGCATTGTTCTGAGCTGTCTCCCACTGATGTGAACCAGATTTTTACGGAAGTCTGCAAGCTAGGACCAACCTGCAAAGCCATATGAGTTAATGCAGTTTTCCTTGAACCCAGGAGCTGTTGGGTGATGTACTCTATCCATCAACAGAGAATGAATGGGCTGCCACCCAGGAGGTAGAAGTGGCAGTCTCTATTGTACAGTTGACAATGCTGAGACACACAGGGGTTAAGGGACTTGACAATCATCTACAGCTGGCAGCTTTGAACTTGACCTCATCCTAAGACCTATCTATCACCCTCAGCATTGCCACAGGCTCCTGCTGGGCTGCTCAAGATGCAATTTGAGACTGGGGTGCACCACACACATAACCACGGGGACCTTCAACTGCAGCACGGGTGTCCGCCAGAGAATGCTCACCAGCCTTGAATGCTCACCATCCCAGGGTCCTCAGCCCCATTCTTGCTGATGGGCCTCAGGCTGGAGGCTGGGGCTTCCTCCCTCAACACTGGTCTCTCACACCCTGCCTGGAGTGAGCCAGGGAGGCTTGGGCAAGAATTTTAACAAATGGCCTCGCATATATGAAGCGAAAGAGATGGCCTCCTTTGGCTTCAGTGGACAAGGAATGAGAAATGGGGCTATCTGTCCTGCAGGTCTCTGTGACAAGGAGGGATGTGTCAGCCTTAATCCAGGCCTCACAGTGGGCGGTTTTAATAAGTCCTGTGGAATCTGGTGCTATGTGGGAGGCAGTGCGGGGAAAGGAGCCAGGCCAGAGGGAAACACACAAGTCCATGGTCAAAACCCGCAGGCTCAGCATAGGAGGGAGCCCAGTGCTACAGTGGGACCCAGGGGCTGCTGAGTGGCCTGGGGTGCAGACAAATCCCAGTGCTGCATGAAAGCTGTGTGACCCAGGGCAAGCAGCCTACCCTTTCTGAGCCTTGGTTCCCACATAGGCAATAGGAGGTCACTGTTCATGTTAAACCCTGCGTGGTAGCCATTTAAGAAGTCCGGGGAGTGCTGCAGGTTTGGAGCACCATGCCTAGAACACCTGTCGCTCATCACCAGTGAGCACCAGACCTGGACTCCGTCCGTTCCTTTCTGCTGCTGGGGCTGCGCTCCTCAGTCAGGTTTCTTGAGTTCCCCCCAAGTCTCCCTGAAGTATTGACCCAGAACCCTGTTAGGACCCATGGGACCTGAGCCACCACTGCTGCATCTCCAGCACTGTGGAGAAAGGCCACAGACTAGCCACTGTGTGTCCAGAGCCACAGCGCTCAGGAAATAAGGTGAATAACCCAGCCAACGTCTGTCCCCAGCCACCAGGGCAAGGCCTGTGTCCTTGTGAATCTCTCCACTCCCTGTGGAAGGGATGCTCTGGACCATGTGACTCAGGTACAACCCTTCAGATCCTTCTCATTTCCCCAGGATTTAAATCATTGGCTCATGGATGATCACATAAGCCAACGAAACCACTCCCACCCCCACTTCCTACCCCCGCCCCCATTCCTCACCCTGCCCCTTTTATTTGTAGTACATTTGTAAGGTGTTCTGGAGTGGTGCTTGGCAACCATCTTTACCACCACTGTGAGGAAAGCTGCCTGAGACTGAAGCTATGAGAGACTGAGGAAGGGAGAGAGAAAGACTGGGCCCCTGAGGAACTCACTGGATCTGGATCCAGCTGTGCCTGAAGCAGACATTACAGGGCTCACCCAGCATGCGGTCCACCTAGACACCTTGGGACTCATTCCTAGCTCCAGAGGTTGGCCTGCTTGAGCTGAAACACTACCCTCAAGCCACTCCCCAGTTGCATGACCGTTCAGGAGAAAAGAAAGGACCTGTGCCCATCACAGGGACGTTTAGGACCTCAGCCCACGCTGGAGAAGGAGGCCTCATCTCTGCATGTGAAGGACACACTGGCCATGGGGAATTTGCTTACCACCACTGAGCCACAGGGTCTCTTTGTTCAGATTGATGGGGCAGGATTTTGTCACAACCCAGAGTCCCATATGGTTGTGTGTGCCCACCTCCACCCCCACCCCTCACCCCTGTCCCATACACCACCCACACCCTGGCTTCTGAGTTAAATCAATGAATAAGCACCCTTGTTCTTGTAAGCATGGGTTTTTGCCATTCACAAGCCAAAGGATCCTGACACACTCCTTTGTGTACCCAGCACGACTCAGACTCTGATACCTGAAGGTCAAAGGTCACTTACCAGAAAGACCACCCATAGTCCCAGGAATGAGGTCTCCAGTCTTCAGGGCCGAGGCTCACGGTGACCTGGAACACCTGTGTGTACATCATGTGCGCGACCATTCCCAGGAGGCCTGTGGAGCAGAGCAGGTGTCAGGATCCAGGGAAGGACCTCATCCCCATGTTAAGGACCACCCCCCACAGCCACTTGCCAGCTGGCCTGTTAGTATTGAGAGTGCATGGACTCCATGGAAGGAACATTAATTATTGGGAGCAGAGGCTGAGAGGCAGTGGGGTGGTCCAGAGGATCGAGGGCAGCCCTGCAGAAGTTTAAGCAAAGCAAACCGGTTCATGTTAGAAACCGGTTCCTGAAAGGGGCCACAAGTAAACATTTGAGGCTGGGGGCCAGGTGGTCTCTGTTAAAACTATTTAACTCATCCAACTGGCTATGGGTGACATGTTAGCTTACGGGTTTCCCCAATAAAACTTTTTATCACAAAGCAGCCAACGGACTGGTTTCAGCCTGCACTCAGGCTTGCTGGCACCTGTGTTAGAAAGACCCCACGGAAGGAGTGGCCTCCAGTGTCAACCTGTGGGTCTCTGACCCCTTACTCAGGGCTCCTAAGACCACCAGCAAACACAGATGTTTACATTATGATTCATAGCAATAGCAAAATCACAGTTATGAAGTAGCAATGAAAATAATGTTATGGTTGGGGGTCACCACAACATGAAGAACTGTATTAAAGGGTCACAGCATTAGGAAAGTTGGGAACCACAGTTGCAGAGGGTTATAAAATCAACTTCACAGGTTTCTTTTTAACACAACCAGTATTTTGAAAAGAATGGGATGGTATTTATGTAAGTTTGAATCTTAAATGCCCCCCATGGAATGTCCCCACTCCCCATGGTCTCACGTTTTGGACACTTGTTCCTGCTGCGGCGGGGTGGGGTGGGGTGTACTTTTATGGAAACTGTGGACACCGTAGGAAGTGGGGCCCAACCGAAGGTGGTAGGTCACAGGGTGGACCCATTATCCCCGTCTCTTGACCTGTCTTGCTCTCTGCCTCTTGGTCCACCAGGACCTGAGCAGCCTCTGCCATACACCTGCTGCCAAGAAAGAGCCGCACAGCCTGCCTCCCCCACCACGGTGGACTTGAACCACAAGCCAGAGTAAACCTTTTCGCTCAGGTTGCTCCTGCCAGGTGTTGTGGTTACAGTGACACACAAAGGAACCCACGACACAGCCGAATGCCGCTGGGGGAAATGGTCCGTGGACTGTTCAGCTCTGAGCGTGTGCAGCGTTGTGACGTGGGGGTAACTCACCAGTTGAAGAAGTGTGAGCTGGAGGACTTTGGGGATAGGCTCTTTCCTAACACACTTTCTCTGTGTGGTCTGGGGCTAAGCACGTGACCTCTCTGAATCTCCAGTCTTTCCGTCATCCTCAAGCCGAGGATCGTGTCACGTGTGGGGGAATCTCAAGGGACCCAAGATAGGGCAGCCTTGGTATCTGAGGCCCACCAGGCACTAATCTTTACAGCCACTGGGATAATTGCAAAACAGAGCCCGTCTCTTGGGGACCGGGTTATAGACTGTCATCTAAGGCCTCCTGTGTGGCCAACCCTAAGATATGGACTCAGTCTTAAGGAGGGAGTGTCTCGAGCAAGAAGGTAGATGTACATAGGTCGTATAGCAAAAGTTACGTTTTATTATGCTGGCGGTCATCACACTAGGTTCACGCTCTAAGTTCCTAACTATGGTCCTAAGCCTGTCTCCCCAAGGCCACTCGCCTGTGCGACACACCTTAGCTGAAGGTCAGGTCCAGTCTCTAACAGAAGTCTCTGATTTGAGGATCAGGATCTTGGGGGTAGACTCTCCAGCAGCAGGGCAGATCAGGGTGGGATCTCTCCAAATGTGCAGAGCAGAGCCTTGCTCTTGGTCTCTTATATGCTGCTGTCCAGTGGGTGTCATGGGGTCTAGAACTGAGTCTGGTTATCTTGAATGAGTGAAGTCACTAAGTTCTGGTTATCAGGTACAGCCGTGGGTGTCGTGGGGATCCTGACTAAGCTGTGTTTACACGGCTGAAAGGCATTTTCACTATGCTCATTACAGGGAGACAGTCCTGATGAGAAGAAGAAAGGAGACCAACATGTTACAGCTCTCAGGTAACACCCATCCCGGAGGGAAGTCGAGGCTGGAGTCCAGGGCAGGAACCTGGAGGCAGGAGCTGATGCAGAGGCCGTAAATGAGTGTTGCTTACTGGCTTGTTCCTCATGGCTTGCTCAGCCTACTTTCTTATAGCACCCAGGACCACCTGCCCAGGGGTGGCACCTCCTACGGTAAGCTGGACCCACCCATATCAACCATCAATCAAGAAAAGAACCTGCAGACTTGCCTATAGGCCAATCAGATGGGGGCATTTTCTCAGTCGAGGCTCCCTCTTCCCAGATGACTCTAACTTGTGTCAAGTTGATAAAAAACAAAACCAAAACACTAGCCAGGACAGGCTCAGATGTAGATTCGCTTGGGTTTTGTTGGTGGTGTTGTGTGGTTTGTTTTATGTTGTTCTGGGTTTTGTTGTTGTTGGCCTAAACCTTACCATATAGATCAGCGTAGCCTTGAATTTAACAGCCTTATGCTCCTGAGTTCCTGAGTTCTGAGGTCACCACCACACACTTAGCTTCCAAATATTCTTTTAAAAACTTTTCTTGGTGTTTGTTGTATACAAGCATTTATGATCAACTATGTATGCATGTATGTGTCTAGATGTGTGGGGGGCGGGGCAGAGGCCAACACCGGGCATCTTCTATTGCTCTCCACCTAGTGGAGCCTGGAGCTCACCAATTGCCAAGACTAGCTGGCCAGTGAACCCCACCCAGATCCTCCCTAGCAGTGGGATTGGGGGTGCACCACCTCACCCAGCTTTTTATGTGAGTGCTGGTGATCTGCACCCAGGTGCTCACCCTTGCCTAGCAGGTACTTTACTAACAGCCGTCTTCCCAGGGCTCCAGACAGTCTTATAGTCAGGCCTCTTCCCACGCTGCCTAGACGGCAGCTGTGCCCCCCTCACTGCTTCTGTCACGCCTGGCCCTGCCGCTAAAGAGAAGGCAAGCAAGAAGTGGTGATGAGAAACTGTGGTGAGGGCAGATGAAGTAAAGGAGACAAGGAGATGGGAGGAGCGGATGCCTCGTGCTTCACCGTGTGGAGGTAAACACCTAGCAACTCTAAAAAGAAGGAAGGCGGAAAGGGACGGAAAGTCCTATGTGTACCGTTTACCCCATCCCACAGCCATCCTTGAGCTCCCAAGGTGAAGTCCCAAGAGTGGAGCAGAGGAGAGGAGTACACCGTGGCCTTGTGAGCTGAGCCACAGCCCTCACCCCAGCCTTCCACCCGGGACCCCAGGGCTCTGAGACAGAGGATTCCAGGCTGTTGTCAGTCTCAGGCCAAGGGCAGGTGACGAGTCCCCTTAGGGGCTCCCCGCAATGCTCCTCCCAGGCCTTACCAACGCTTGATGCTGTAAGGTACTAAAGATCTAACCCTCCCACGGCCACGCTGTGTGCTATTGTCCCTTAGTGCCACAGAGCTGGGCGGTGCTGTTTATGAACTGTTCCTGCTTCCTCCTCTTTGAGTATGTGTGGCCGCATCCTTCCTCAGTCTTGTGTGTGTGTGTGTGTGTGTGTGTGTGTGTGTGTGTGTGTGTGTGTGTGGTGTCTGTATGTGTGTATGTGTGTGTGTGTATATGTGGTGTGTGTGTGTGATAGGGTGTGTGTATGTGTGGTAGGGTGTAGAATGTGTGGTGTGTGTGAGTGTGTGTGTGAGTGTGTATGTGTGTATCTCTGTGTGTATATGTGGTATGTGTGTGATAGGGTGTGTGTGTGTGTGTGTGGTAGGGTGTAGAATGTGTGGTGTGTGTGAGTCTATGTGTGGTGTGTGTGGTGTCTGTGTGTGTATGTAGTGTGGTATATGTATGTATATGTTGTGGGTATGTGTATGTGGTGTGTGTGGTGTCTGTATGTGTATGTAGTGTATGGTATGTGTGTGTATAGTGTGGCATGTGTATGTATGTATTGTGGGTATGTGTATGTGGTGTGTGTGGTATGTGTGTGTGGTGTGTGTACTATGTGGTATGTATGTGTGTACGGTCTGTGCAATGTGTGATGTGTGGACACACGTGTGCAGGTTCTTCTGGAGGTTGAGGAGGACGTTGGGTGTCCTGGTTTACCGACCTCTACCTTATTCCTTTTGGGACATGGTCTGTTATTGAACTTGGAGCTGAGCTGGTGGCCAGCAAGTCCCAGCAGCTCCTCTGTGTCTGTCCCCATCAGAACTGGATACAGGTGTGCGCAGCACCGGGCACAGCCTTAGGCCTGGGTTCTGGATTTCGGAGCTCAAGTCCTCGTACTGCTCAGCAGGTGCTGTCCTCACTCACGCGTCTCTCCAGCCTCGCCCAGGGGCATCTTCTAAACCTGTTTCCTTAGGGAGCTGGGGAATGCTCAGTGGATCAAATTTGTGCTGTGCTAGTGTGGGACCTGCATCCAGGTCCCACATAAAGCTAGCCAAGTCCAGCTCTGGGGCGTGGGCGGAGAGAGATGATCCCTGAAACTCATTGGCCGGCTGGCCTGGCTGTTCAGTGAGGGACCCTGCCTCAAAAGAGAAAGGTGGAGACCAACACAGGAAGACACAGACATCAACCTTGGATCTCCATGTGACATTCATACATGTAAACGCCCCACGTGAACACATACATCTGACATACACACACTGTACTCATTACACCACATACATACACTACACCCCCACACATATACCACACACTACACCCACACACACATACAACACACACACACCACACTGCCATACTACGTCATGCACATATCACACACACACCACACACATACTCTCACACATATACTATACATACTCATACATAACACACACACACACACACACACACACACACACACACACACACACACACACATACTGTGCATACTCACACACCACACACACACACACTCACACCATACACCATGCACATACACACTCACACCATATACCACACACACACACACACACACACACACACAATGTGTGGCTTGCTCTATGGCATGCTAGAGGTTCTTTATGTACCCAG